GGTCCACTAACTCCATTCTAACCCGCCCATGGCGCCACTTATCCTCCTTTTTACGGTGGTCATAGTGTTCACTAGATCACACACGTCCGAACAAGAGGCGACGAGCTCGATCGCCGCATGAAACGCCTGTCATTGAGCCGCGCCAATGCAAGGGAATGTTTAAAACTCAACAAATCTGATCTCGTCAAGCAGGATGTGAGGGCTGCCCTCAGCTAGCTACTTCCTAGCACAATGCATGTGCTTCGCTATGGAGAAAATGCTGGTAGCCATGAATCAGGGTTGGCGAGCCGCCAATGCAAGGGAATGTTTAAAACTCAACAAATCTGATCTCGTCAAGCAGGATGTGAGGGCTGCCCTCAGCTAGCTACTTCCTAGCACAATGCATGTGCTTCGCTATGGAGAAAATGCTGGTAGCCATGAATCAGGGTTGGCCTCGTTTAGGAACTTTGAAGATTGATCAATTGAGGGTAGGGTTCGTGGGTCGTGTCAGGCCCAATATGCGATACTATCCTAAAGAGACTCGAAGGTCCCACCAAGGATAGAACTGCATATTGACACACTTTTGCAAGGTGGATATCATTACATCAAACCATTACATAAATAGTTGGGGATACATACAAGGCATACAAATGCCGCAAGAATACATCAATACATCATACATAGAACAACATCCGACTATGGATGAAACACAAACAAAAGCTCAAACGACATCCACCCTGCTAGCCCAGACTGCCGACCAGGAACCTATCCCTCGAACGAAGAAGCGGAACAAGAACTCCAAAACCATAAACATCGCTCTCATGTCATGAACATCGCATCACCTGTACCTGCAACTGTTGTTGTAGTAATGTGTGAGCCACGAGGACTCAGCAATCCCATTACCATGGGTATCAAGACTAGCAAAGCTTAAAGGGTAGGAAAGGGATAAGTGGTGAGGTTGTAGCAGCGACTAAGCAATGTATGGTGGCTAACTTACGAATACCAGAGTAAGATGAGAAATTACGCAAATGGTCGCAACTAGTAATGATCAAGAAGTGATCCTGAACTACTTACGTTCAAACATAACCCAACCGTGTTCTCCTCTCGAACTTTCCCGAAAAGAGACAGTCACGGTTACACAATGCGGTTGGTGTATTTTAATTGAGTTACTTCGAGTCCTCTACAACCGGATATTAACAAATTCCCATCCGCCACATAACCGCGGGCACGACTTTCAAAAGTTTAAACCCTGCAAGGGTGTCCCAACTTAGCCCATGACAAGATCACGATCCGTGGAGACAATCCTCCATCGCGGGACATCCGATCAGACTCGGGATCCCTGTGCACAAGACATTTCGACAATGGTAAAACAAGTCCAGCAAGATCTCCCGGCGTGGCGACACCTTGATAGTAGTCGCGGTATCTCGTCTTAGGCCATGACCGGATTGTCCAAACTTCCGGTAGGCCAATCACAGAGTTGCCCTGGCGGCCACCGGCGGTTCACAGGTTGGACCAACACTCATGAGG